TGGCGCTCCGTGTTTAAGAACTGGCTCTGCCAGCCCCCTCGCTGCCCCCCACCAGCCGCGGCACAGCCGACGGGCTCAGCTCTGCTCTCCGCCAGCTCACGAAGTTTCAGAAGACCGCGCTATCGGCTCTCGCCAGCCAGCTCCAGCACCCGCCGCCTGTAATTCACCAGGGGGGGTCAGCATCCTCACGACGGTAGCCAAAGCCTTACCTTCTGCGCTGATAACGACCTCATGCAGTAAGTTATGAAGCGCGGCGATTTCCTGGGGAAAAACAAGGGGGATGTTGTAAAGCCACCGTCTGCCGTGCCCCCAGCGCTCCAACCTGGCCCGGATGAGTCCCAGCAGCTCCTGACCCCTTTTTGCAAGCCCCAAATGCGTCATCAGGGACACTGGGTGGAAGACACACTGTTTGAAAAGCTGTGCAAGAGGCCGCCAAGCGGGAATTTGTCTTTTCTTCCTTGCCCTGGGTGGGGCTGCTTGGTATAAGGAGGGATCCGGGAGAACGGGGTTCTTTGCACAGTACTGAATCAAATGGGGCAACTCCGCGCCACGTGATGCAGTGACTGTCGCCCACCTGGATAGGTTTAATAGTAGGCTGGGCACCCTCAGCTGTCAGTGGCTGCTAATCTCTCTTCCCCTGTTGCTGGAAAACGTAAGCAAGAGGCTGTTCTGCTCCTTACGGCTTCACACCGGTTTAGGGCTCCTGTCAGTTTGATCCCACTCTTACCGCTCTCTTCCCTAAATCCGGAACTGTTTAGGTGCCAAGCGGGGGCCCACTTGCCAACCTAAGATTCTTTGTTTGGGAAAGCCACCGACCCATTCAGAAAGCATTTCCCTTGTCATGCCAGCAGGAACAATAATCGAGAGCGGAAGACTCCTCTGAGCATGGGCAGAGTGCAGTTTCTTTGCTGGCAAAGACTTTTTTTTAATGATTTTTTTTATTGCCTTTTAATCAATAGCAAAAAAAAGAAAAAATTATATACTGCTTTTTCATTGCTGGCACAGACTTCACCAAGAACCGACGTGACCAGGAAGCGGAGGCCCCGGAAGCCGGAGGCCCGGGCCAACCCAGCTTTGAAACTCACTGCAAACACCTCACCTTGATGAAGCTCATGAGGGTTTCACAATCGCTGCTCTTGGCTGGTCGGATGAGACACTCCATCTTCTCTGGCTGGGTGCTGCTCCAAAGTCCCCCTCCGCGCGCACCGCCGCC